GACAGTGGCCCAGGTTGCCCAGGGAGGCTGTGGCTGCCCCAACCCTGGCAGTGTTCACAGCCAGGTTGGCTGAGCCTTGAGCAACCTGCTCTGGTGGGAGGTGTCTCTGCCCAGGGCAGGGGGTTGGGGCTGGATGAACTGTAAGGTCTATTCCCACCCCTAGTATTCTATGATTCTACAATAATGAACTGTGCTGTGCTCCCTTTGGTGTGAGACCTGGCAGAAATCCACCCCACTGACAGTTCCTGGGTTTGCAGCCCTCTTAGCCGAGGCAGAAGTGCCTCTGGAGGGGCCAAAGGGCAGGAAGGGAAGCATTTTCAGACAATTTGGCTGCTGTTTTACAGCCTTACTGCTGGTCAAATGTTAGGAGTGGTGTTTTGGCTCTTGTGTTTCATCTAGATTAGTCATTGTGTGTTTATTTGTGGGTGGTCTTTTAAGGATGAGCAGAGCCACCCTTTGCAGGGGGCTGATAGGAATATGATGGATATGTTTGGCTTGTGAAGGAACAGGTTGATGGGATTTCCTCCCCTGTACTGGCTCCTTGGTGGTTTGAGGTTTTTCTAAAAGCTGGATCCCATTTGGAAGAGTTTGTGGTGAATAAGTGAGAGTTTAACATCTGTCTCTGTAATGTGAGAAGAGTTCTTGGCCTTTGGACTTTGAAAGGTTGTGCTTATCATGACCATAATGTGAAGGAGGCTGTTATCATGTACCTGCTGCTTCCTTCTCCCTGTTCTGCTTACCTGGCTTGGTGAGCATGGATGGATGCGAGTTGGATATGGCTCAGGGATGACCTCAGGGCCCTCTCCAACTCCCTGCCAGGGCTGGAGAGAGGTGGGGGATGTGTGTCCTGCCAGGGCTGGAGAGAGGTGTGGGATGTGTGTCCTGCCAGGGCTGCAGGGAGAGGATAGAGGGAATGGCCTTGAGCTGAGCCAGGGCAGAGTCAGATTGGATGTGAGGAGAAATGTTTTCCCTGTTGTGGTGTTGAGGCCCTGGGATATTGCCCAGGGAGGTGGTGGAGTCACCATCCCTGGAGGTATTTAAGAGGCATCTGGGTCTGGCAAAGCAGGATCTGGTTTAGGGGTTCCAGCAGTGACAGGTTAATGGTTGGACTTGATGATCTTAGAGGTCTCTTCCAACCTTGATAAGTCTGATTCTTTCCCATTGTATCTTTTGCAAATACTCCACTGGTGGATTGGGTTGTGACATGAGACATGGACTTCCTGGGGCCAAATTTGATTCTCAGGTTCTGTGTTTGTTCAAGCCTCCTAAAGCCTTTTCCTTACCTTTCTGCAGGTGCTGGAAGACAATGACTATGGTCGTGCAGTGGACTGGTGGGGCTTGGGAGTTGTGATGTACGAAATGATGTGTGGACGTCTCCCTTTCTACAACCAGGACCATGAAAAGCTCTTTGAACTCATCCTTATGGAGGAGATCAGATTTCCACGCACATTGTCACCTGAAGCAAAATCTCTCTTGTCAGGTTTGCTGAAGAAAGATCCTAAGCAAAGGTGAGACTGTGGCTTAATAGTTGCATTTTTAAGGTATTTGAGACAAAATTGAAGGGTTTTTTTTTTTCATCCACTGAAAATGGGTATCCAAGAAGATGCAGCAAGTGGATCCTGCTCATTTATTTACCTCTTGACATGAGCTGACTCTGTAAATAGTGACATGAAGCAATGTTAGTGCTCAGAAGGTTAAACTTCGGTGTGTGTTTTGCCATTAAGGCAAAGCTGTAGGCTGGGAAAAAGTAAGTCAGCGCTGATTTGATCATGCTGAACCCAGTGGCTGCTGTGGGTTATAAGCTGCTCCACACCGAGTACTGTCACCCTGTGTCCCAGCTGAGCCTGCTCTCTCCTTTCTGAGCTTTTGTTTCAGTCTGTGCCAGTGATTTAGCATCCTGCTTTGGACAGTAGGTGGTGTTTGTACCCTGTTTGTGGTGGAGTTCATCCCATGCTCAATGACTTTTCCTATTTCCTCCTTTTGTTTTTGTTTTTGCTTCTTTATTGCTGTATTATTTAAGAAAATAGTTCTCCATTTAAAAGCAGAAAAAAACACCTCAAACCAAAACAAAAAACCCTAAGCCATTAATGGCCAACAAACAGAAAGCAGAACAAGATCCAAAAAGGATGTTGACCTTCACTCAAAGATAAACACTAGTTTAAAAACTTGCCATCTTGTTAACCCAGACGTTTTGAAAACAAATAACGTCCCTGATCTCCTGTCCTGAACCTTCCACTGCAAATGGGCCTCAAATAGGAAATCTTTCATGTGAGGTGCAAGCAGAGAATTCCAGTTTGCTTTGGGATATTTGTTTAGTCTGTGTGTCTGTCCATGCATAGAGCAGGAAAGTGGGTTTTGCCAGCACATGGATACCTCTAGCAAGGATTTCTGTCCTCACTGTAGGCTATGATGAGGTTGAACAAGGCCAAGTGCTGGTCCTGGACTTTGGCCATAACAATCCCATGCAGAGCTCCAGGCTGGGACAGAGTGGCTGGAGAGCACCAGGAGAAAGGGACCTGGGAGTGCAGAGAGACAGGGAGATGAACATGAGCCAGCAGTGTGCTCAGGGAGCCAAGGAGGCCAATGGCATCCTGGGCTGGATCAGGAACAGTGTGGTCAGCAGGACCAGGGAGGTGATTCTGGCCCTGGACTCGGTGCTGGTGAGACCACACCTTGAATCCTGTGCTCAGTTCTGGGCCCTCAGCTCAGGAGGGACATTGAGGGGCTGGAGCAGGTCCCGAGAATAGCAACAAGGCTGGTGAAGGGACTGGAGCACAAGAGCCATGAGGAGAGGCTGAGGGAGCTGGGGGTGTTCAGCCTGGAGAAGAGGAGGCTCAGGGGAGACCTTATCACCCTCTGCAATTCCCTGACAGGAGGTTGGAGTCAGGTGGGGGTTGGTCTCTTCTCCCAGGCAACCAGCAGCAGGACAAGAGGGCACAGACTCAAGCTCTGCCAGGGGAGGGTTAGGTTGGCTATTAGGAAGAGATTTTTTGCAGAGAGAGTGCTCAGGCATTGGAATGTGCTGCCCAGGGAGGTGGTGGATTCACCATCCCTGGAGGGTTTCAAGGTGAGACTGGATGTGGCACTTAGTGCCATGGTCCAGTGACCACGGTAGGGTTGGGCTTGGTGTTCTTGGAGGCCTTTTCCAACCCAGTTGAGTCTACGATTCTGTGATTCTGTTTCCATCCCTGGTTTTGACAGGAAATCCTGTTGCGAGGTCTCGTAATACAAACACACAACGTACAGCGCTGGAGGGTTGAGCTGAGGGTGACGTGGGGAATGGGGCAGAGTTGCATCCAGGAACACATCCAAGCCTTGTGCTAGGTGGAACAGCTGCCCCCCCTGCCCAGCCTGGCGCCTGCCAGGGACCTTCAGGAGCAGGTTGTGTAATTGATGAGCAGCCCCCAGGCCCTGAGCACTGCAGCCCCTGCCAAAGGGATTCCTGTCCAGCAAAGCTCTGGGTTAAATACAGTTGTGACCCTTTTGGAGCTTATTCAGGTGGGGCCTTTCAATCACCGCTAACACAAGCAGCATCTGCTGTATTTTTTTTCTGAACCGAAATGCAGTTTGTTTACCAACAAAGAACGCCCACTCATTTCTAATTAGAGATTTTCCCAATGCCAATAATTACTCCACAATATGCTCACTTCATACAAATAGCCTCTTCTTCACATGGATCTTCTGCAGGCTTGGAAGCAGCTCTGCTCTGATCTGTTGGGCAGATGATTTTCATGCTGCTGATAGAAATAACTATTGACTACACGAGCCTGCTGTAGCTTGCTAATTACACTGGTGCTTCCCAGGATTTTTGGAGCCTGGATTGTTCTTAAATACTGGTTTCTCACCAATTACTGCTTGCACAACTTTCTGACTGATGTTGTGATTTGGCAGCACAGAGAACTCAGCTGGAAGAACTAGGGGTAGAAGTACTGCATCCTGACCTTGTAGTGGTTTCTGATGTGTGTGCTGGGATGGGCACGTGGCATACTTGGGAGTTGATTCCTAATGAGCTCCTGGAGCCTTATGGACAAAAACCAGCCAGAGAGCTCTGAAAATGCATTTGCTGCAAAGGTAAATAATGTGCAATAGTCTGATTGACATTGGCCCCTTGATGGTGCTTTGAGGAGCCACTGTGTCATTCAGCAGGGATCGCTTCTTTCATACAGCCCAGTATGGACAGACGTTGGTGTGGTTGTAATGTTGTTTGTGGCAGAAAACATCTGAATTGGCAGCATTTAGTAACTGTTAGAGTCAGTGAGTTTGGAAGGGACCACAGTAGTCATCTGGTCCCACCTCCCTGCTCAGGCAGGGCCAGCACATGGCTCAGGGTTGTGTCCAGATGGTTCTTGAACACCTTTGCTGTGCAGTCACTGAGCACTGAACAGGTTGCCCAGAGAGGTCATGGCTCCTCACTGGAGAAGTTCTTCCTCATGTTCAGGTGGAACTTCCTGGGCATCAGTTTTTGCTGTTGCCTCTTGTTTTATTGTTTTCCCCCACTGAGCAGAGTCTGAACATCCTCTTGGCACTTCCCATTCGTGGCCTTGAATCCATTCCTGAGGTCCCTCTCAGTGTCTCTTCTTGAGGCTGAACAGCCCCAACTCCCTCAGCCTTTCCTCATCCCTGAGGTGCTCCAGTCCCTTTAGCATCTTCCTTGCCCTCCCCTGGACCTGCTCCAGGAGCTCCATGTCCCTCTGGCCCTGAGGAGCCCAGAACTGGACACAATACTCTTGCTTTATTGGTTTCCACCACTGAGAAGGGTCTGGTCCATCCTCTTGGCACTTCCCATTCATGTACTTGAAACACTGATGATGAACTTCAGAGTGGGATGGAAGAGACAGTCAAACCATTAGAAAAATGTAACGGGGAGACATTGCCGCTTCCCATAAAATCATGAAATAAACTCCAGACAATAAAGGTTGATCTAGTGAAGCTCAGTGATGAGGATATTTGAAGTTAAATATCAGTGAACTAGGGAACTGTGATCTGTGTCAGTGATTTCATCCTAGGAATGACCTGTTTTACCTGAGCTGGATATCCAGGAGTAGTGTCAGCACTCTGTGTGCAGTAGGTCAGTCTCAAGCTCCCAGGCATATGGGGAAAATGTGCAGAACAGTAAGTTGCATTCTGCTTTTAATCAGGGCTGGTTTCTAAATTTGGTCACATGAAATCCATTTGGTAAGAGAAAAGGAATTCTGAAGTTTCTTTTGGGATTGATAGAAGTTTATTAATCTCGTAACATGAGCCCTAATTTTCCTAAGAAGAAAAAAATCTATTCTGTACATATTTCCTTTCAGTGTGGCTCAAGTTCTCCTTTGCTCTTTGTGACATGGATCAAATGAAAGGAGGTAATCAGAGCACTTTTTTCACACATAAAACAATGAAGTTCTAACTTTTATTATTCTTCCTCTGGCTGGGGAGTTGGCAGCCTGTGAGACTGGTCGTGGATCAGAGTGCTCCATGTAAGTGGGCTGAGGTTTGGAATCAGCAGTGTCTTGAAAGATCTGAATCTTGACAGGTTTTAAACTTGAGAAGAATTCAGGGTGGTTTAAGCTGAACTTTGATCCTGTTTTCACTCTGTGCCCTGTCAGAGGTCAGGGTTGTTCAGCCTCTTTCAGATGGGGTTTGTCACATGCTGCTTCACCTGCTCCTGTCTTCTCTGGTGCTGTTTGGCCATGCCATTCAGGAAGAACAAGAGGGAGAAGATGCAGAATTTCACAAACACCTGGTCAAAGATTTCGTGGCTTCACAGATTTGTGGATTTGGAGAGATGAAGGTGATCACTGGGACCTGGTGATCAGTTCTTGCAGCCGCAAAGAGCTCTGGTCCTTCCTAGTGATGGTGCTTCCTCCCACATCCAGAGTGCAGCTTTGGCTGCAGATACTAAGGAGTATCAGGGTCAATCAAGCCTTTACTTGTATGAAAACCAAACTCCTTGTTGTTTTACCTTGTGAAAGGAGGAGACTTGTAGCTAAGCTGTTATGTCTGTGATGCTGTGCTATGGGAAGGGTTGATGGCTCTTGAGCAAGGCACAAGTAGCTCTGCAACCTATGCAGCCGCTGCTGGAGCTGGAAGAGTTAGAGGTGACACTTATGGGGACTGCAGGGGCCTGTAGGTGGTCCCAGAAGGAGGAGGTAGCCTTGGATAGTTTGTCCTCTTGGACAGCAGACTGTCATGCCTTGTGGACAAGCAGTTTTGAAACCGCATGTGACAAGTGTCTTGCTCTGAAGTGTGTGTGCCTTGAGTACAAAGGTTGTCTCCAGATAACCCCAGTGTCCTGCATATCATCCAAACTGCAAAATGCTCACTAAATCTTCCTGTTTCACTAGGTGCTTTGAGACAGACTGAGATTGAGCTGTTGTGTATGATAATTTCAGTCTAAATCAATTCTGTCCAAAGCCATTTGGCCAAACTCAAACAGTTCACCCTGAGAGACCTAAATTGAAGCTGAGAAAAACATCAAGGGCAAATTTAAAGAGATTTTTCTCCCAGCTTTCTAGAAACCAGTACTTTAG